GTGTCGGCTGAGATTTGTGGAGTACAATTCAAAAAACAACTATAGGTCTAATAATGAATTATTGTGATGTTAAATAGACAATGTTAGTCTACAAACGTCGCCTAAAGTAATTGATTTTACCCGGCAGAACGAAAGAAGGAAACTCCGCTTTTCTAGCCCTTGTTTTTTGACAAACAATGACCTTTCAGAGGTCAAATTGCTGTCAAGAATATGAATTGGCTGCTTCCGCAGCAATAAACGGCGTATATCACCATCAAATGATACAGAACATTTCTTTTGTGTGAAATAGAAGTTCTAACGTTTATGTTCTTTCTCTGAAAGTGTATTATGTTTTATAGTGTGATAAATTGGCACATGATAATAATTACAGTTTTGTTTCAATTGCATAAAATTATCGTTTAAATGTTAATGCTAACATTACACAAAAATAATAGCTAGAAGCACTCTCCAAGCAGTCAATCATCAACCACCACTACAAACCTCTGTTCATAATTTAACTTTGCAAAAACACTTCTCTTAGATACACTAGGCCTATATTTTACTCAAGAATAGTTTATTTGAATTATCAAAGAGGAAGACAAAGATATTCTGATTAAGCTTATACTAACTTTACTTGTCAAATATTGTAATTAATCAGAATTAATTACTATAACATTATTCCATGATTTAATTTTTTACTCTATGTTCATTATATCGACTTTGATTACATAATGGCAAGTAGAAAAATATGTTCCTCGGTTACAAATGCTTGGCTGCCTGTCTAGTCATTTAATGTGGTCGAGCCACCATGAATTAGTTGTTTAATAAAATAAAATGTATCACTGCTAAACTAAAATATTTAATTTTATTTTCACAGGATTCAATCATAGAATCGTATTTAAAAAGTAAGAAGAAAGTTAATGGCATTTTATTTCTAATAATAATTATAAATATAGTTATCTTGCTTTTAAAGTAAGATTGTGATTCCTGATGATGACATAACAAATGTCGAAATATTGAATCCTGACACAATGGCGTGTATTTCATTGCTTGGAGTGTGTATTATACCATGGAGGTATTATTGAGAAGGAGATCACTCGGCAACAGATCCCTTTGACGCGACAAACCTATGTGTTCGTTAGCAACAACTTGGCAACGACATGCATTTATACGCTTCCAGCAGAGCAGTTGTGCAATAGTTGTACAAAGATAAATGTATCAGCTTCAAAATAGAAAAGATTGTGCAGCCATAGTGATTGACAGTATGTAGTGCGCATTGAGAAAAGAAGGTGCTCTCCATTTCGTCATGTTAAATTTTCTGGTCAACTATGCCTGCTGAAAATTTGATGGCGGGGAACACATGGGACTTCAAAGGCATCGCGCAAACGTTCTTTACGTGCTACGGCAACTTTGATCTTGGTTCATTTGCATAGCGCTGCGTGCGCGTAGCTTTGCCGAGTGATCTCCTTCTCAATAATACCTCCATGATTATACTATCTTACTGTAAAGTAACATTATTCAAAAATTTACTCACTTTTCATAATGTTGTGGCAATTAAAACTGACCAACTCCTATAATATAAGGAGACGTTGATATACACTTCCTTTTTCAAGGGGTAGGAGTTAAAATATTTCATATGACTAAAACTCGTAAATTAGCACACACTAAAAATCATTAGATGTTACTTCTGGGTATCTGTAGGCACAATTTCAATAAAAAATGTGATCACCTGCACCATGGCACCACTAGGGTCATGTGACTTTCAAGCTCTAGGCAGCCACACAACTATGCACCATTGGGATTGCCACAGTTTGAGTGATTTAAAAAAATGACCCCAGTTACACATTTTTGTAGGAAGATAAAAAGATACATTTAATCTGCCCTACTTATGGACACAAACTTTTTCAAGAACTGAGTTCCAAAAAAAAAAAAAAACCCAACTATTTTATTGAATGTATGTACTGTTGTATTAATGCAATATTCATTTCTGATTTTCTGAAGGAAATTCCTCCAGTACCAAGACTTCAGTAAAGACAATCAGTAACTATTCCTTCACAATTGGGGGTTTATATCCTGGTTTCGTAGCTTGAGTCAGTAAATCCCCATACATATCATGTCGCCCAGTCATCTACAAACAAAAATAAAAACAAATTGCTGTGCTCAAATTGGCAAATACTTTTCCAGTATTATGTTTATATATTGTCATATAAAATTAGAGGGACCAGGGTTCAAATTCCTGTCAATGGGCGAGTCGAGTCGAGTGGCTGAACTGTAGGCCGAGTGCCGCTTACAACACCCATAACAATGTCGTCGGTTCAAGCTATTCCTTGCTAAGGGTTCAGTTGGTAGAACCAAGTCTTCTCAAATAAAGAATTAAAGTGGGATTCCAGTGTACACACCTGGCTGTGTGCACCTTAAAGAACAAATTCCATTTTTTGGAAAAGTAGGGGGTTACACCAGTGCCTTTCGCTGTGGAATGATGTGAACACGAAGATACTATAAGTGCCTCTTTATGGCAGCTAAGTAGTCACACACCACACCCATACGCATTTCAGCAAAATTACGCTGCGTGTTATGGGTTAATCTCCTACCTTTATCTTTACCCTTCTATGCCAGAATTTTGTTTAGGTATATCCTAGTATTTACAGTGGTCCCCTATTCAAATCTCCGTCAATGCCAATATTCTGTTTAGATAATATTCTGGAATATACAGGGACCTGGGATTACTTAAATTGTATACAGTAGAACACCCTCCATTGGGATACTGCTATTCAAGGGACACCCCTATTAAGGGGACACTTTTCTGTGAAAACGAGGGGAAATATATCTTTTAACACTACGGCCAGCCCCTCTTAAGGGGACACTTTTCTGTGAAAACGAGGGGAAATATATCTTTTAACACTACGGCCAGCCCCTCTTAAGGGGACACTCTTATTAAAAGGGAACGACACACTTTCTGAGTGTGCAAAATGTTCATATCTATACAATTTAACCTCTATTAAGGGTACACTTTTCTTTTATTGAAACTAAACTGTACTCAATAACTTTCCCAACGGAAGCTCTGTCCCCCGGAAACCCACTAGCGCAACTCCTGCCAATTCGCAAAGCAAACAGATTCTCAACTGCTTTAGCATGAAATTGGTAGCTGAGCACATGGAGTGGGCATGAAATTGCTTACCTTGAAACACCATTTGTCTTTAATCTGTCGACACAAATTCAAGTCAACCTCTGTGACTAACAGTCCATCTCGTATCCTAGACAAGCCCTGCAGTATATGAAAATTATATATTGTATTGAAATTTTAATAATAAGCTATTGTGCCTTAACCATTATCTTTACAATAGCATTTAAAGTGAAAGAGTTGCTGACCAAAAAAAAAAACTAGTCATTTTCAAAATGGTGATGTGATGAATTGATGATAATAATGAACACAAATTCAAGTCAACCTCAGTGACTAACAGTCCATCTCGTATCCTAGACAAGCCCTGCAGTATATGAAAATTATATATTGTATTTAAATTTTAATAATAAGCTACTGTGCATCAACCATTATCTTTACAATAACATTTAAAGTGAGAGTTGCTGATCAACAAAAAAAAACTACTCATTTTCAAAATACCTGTATTTGACACATTTCAAGAACAGGAATTTCACAAAAAATTGAATTCGTAATAATGATAATAACAATGATAATGATAAGATTATGTTGATGATGATGATATTGTGTTGGTGATGTGATGAATTGATGATAATAATGAACAAAAATACATACTGGAGTCCTGCTTCCATCCGGAGCAGCAACATAGCTAGACCCTTTTAAAAAGTATATAAAAAAAATGTATTTCAAATTATCATTATTTTATTAATAAAAGGGAATGAATGCATTTGAAAGAAAACTTTAAGGGAATGATAAATCACAGTATAACATTTGACATAGCGCTAATCAAGATGCTTTGTTCAATAGTCAAGAAAACAAGACTTCAAAGGCATAAATAGTTGTTACTGGTTTATTCCAAACATTTGGAATAAACCAGTAACAACTATTTATGTCTTTTTTTCTTGTTTTTTTCTTGTTTTTTTCTTGTTCATATTTGATGTGTATAAGAGACAGTAAGTACATAAAACAAATCCTGTTTGTTGTTTGAAATTGTAATTCTTGTTTTTGCATTTTTTATTATGAGCCATTTTTGTTGTCTTTTGATATTAGGGACCCTAATGGAAATAAGTTTGTTTTTAAACTTTCCTAGGTTACTCCTTGGTTAATTCAGATAATGATGTCATTTATTTTGTTGTTTGACATTTTTTCTCGTTTTTTTATGCAGGCCTACAAGCTTACCGTAGAAGTGTCCAAAGTCATTGTGCTCTAGAAGAAAAAAAAAGTATTGGTTCATAATAAAAGCTATAATCATTATTTTTATCATTATTATCACTACCATCGATGAATAGAAAAAAAAATGAATAAATAGGTTTAAATTAGGATTAATTATATAGATGATGATAATGCTAAGCAGGCACATATCCAGAGTTTACTCTGACTATCCTAAGGTGGGCAGTCTGATGAGAAGAGAGCGCAATTTGTTCGCTGGAAGACAAATTTTAGACAGGGAGGTGGGGTGGGAGGTTTGCTGATCCTCCTTCGGAATGTTTTAGTTTTCGAGATGCTTGGAAATGTACTGTATTCTGAGAATCTATTAATGAATGAATAGTATGGAAAAATAATAATGATGATGAAGAAGAGGAGAAGGAAGTAGTAGTAGGATCAATGAGTGGAAATAGAGCTCATGACTGGGGCCAGGAAACCACACCTGTTGGGGTGTAAGGGTGAAGGGTCTGAAAAATTCCGGTGGTTCTGATGTACTGGAAGACTAATTTGAATGACTTTCTGTAGCAAAGTTTTCTTAAAATACCTCTAACTGGAACAACTAATACTGGTATGTACAAATTTTGGGACATGCCTGTAATTGTTTACTTGGGCAAGACACTTTATATCAATCAATCAAACATTTGAAATGCTGTACATGCATATAACAAGAAATAATCATGATGATAATACATACAGTCTAGTATGACCACAAAATAAGGAAGTCCACTTTTAAACTTCTAACCACATAACACTTTGACATGTAGTTTCAGACCCACTTAAATTTATATATTTCCTTAAAAAAAAGAAAGTACTTATTAAATAGTACAGAGCTAATATGAACACAACATAAGGAAGTCCACTGTATTTCTGCGTATAAGCACTATAGTTACAGCGACGTTGCCTCGAAATTAGTTGTCGGATCCCCTTGCTTGAAGCATCAAACAGAATTATATTATCTTGTGTAGCATACACAAATCATTGACTAGTACAATTAATATTCTTAAATAAATAAAATCCAAAAAATGTATAGGTCGGTAGGGAAAGCTTTTTTTTTCATAATGTGTTTACGCTTAAAAAGTAGAAAAATACACAAATAATACAACAATTTTGGACTCTCTTTGGATTTTGGCCTTTGCCACTTAGCCTAGTCCAAATGCTGTTCCAGCATTTGGGTCGATCGGACGTGGCAAACACAATGATTGTTTTTTATTTGGCGTTTTTACCACCCGGGAAATTACGTTTTATGCATGCACCGATGTGGAAAGTTTAACCTAATATTTGATATGTACATATTTTATGTTGTTTGTTGACTGGTCTCTTTAGTCTAAAATTCATATTATGACCACAACTTCACAACAAGGATGAAGAATAATGCAATTCTCTCAACAATTGTGCTCTGACCAAAACCAAACTCTGTACTGTATGATTTAGCCTGGGTTCCAGGCCCTACATGATAGCCAAGTTTTTAACGCTTGGTGGATATGCTCTCTTCCAATTTGTTTTGCTTTTTGGATGGATATAATGTATAACTCCCATAACAATTTCATATTCCTAAACATATTTTCAAAAGATAAATACTGTACTGCACCTACAAATCAGTGCTAATATAACATTTCCTGTGATGTGTAAACCTTTTGTAGACACAATGTTATCATAATTGTTTACAATTTCAAGGATTTGTGTGCAAAATAACTGTTGAAAGACAACAAAAGTAGTGATTATCACTTCCCCAAAATTTGCATAATAACTTCTAAGCTTTGAACTAGATTTAAAGAAAAAAGAATATTATCCCCTGGGTAAGCATCGTGTGGAAGTAACATGTTTGTTGTAACTTTACTTCAGACAGGAGGCCATCTGAACATAACTATGAATAGGCAGGTTCAGATGAGAAAGAAGTAAAATTTGAAGCAGAGTTTACTTGTCGTAAGCCCTGGGTAGTGTTTGTGTGGATGCTTTTTGTATTAAGTTACTTCAACGTTACAACAGACGATTTACAGCACTCCTGAGCAGTCTCAGGAGTAAGTGTGCTACTTCCGCATGCACATGGAATGCAATGAATACACGATCCGAGTAGCGTTATTTAGGCACACTTACTTCAGAGCTTGCAAGTAAATATGACCTTGAGTATGACCTCAAATTTTTTCAAAACATACAAATACCTACAAATGAGTGCCAAAAATAAAATTTCTCTGATGTTTAAACCTTTGGAGACACAATGTTTTCAAACAGTTTACTACTTCAAGAATTTGTGTGCAAAGTAACTGTTGAGAGAAACGATTAACACTTCCGGAAAATTGGCATAATTACTTTTTGAAGCTTTGAAGTAAAAACAATATTATGCCCTTGGTAAGCCTTGTGTTGACATCCGTCTGCAGTAATGTGCACGTAAAATGTTACATCAGATGGAAGGCTGTCTGAACATAATTATTTAATGGTATGTTGAATACTCAACTGCAGTATTTTGCTTCTGTAGTAATTAAAGATAAGATTAAACACAATTCTAGCATTTCATTAATATATAAATTGTAAGAATTTTGTAAGGGAATATCAAAATTATTAATTCATACTAATTCATACATAGTCATTATAACTAATTTTCATTTGAATTGAATGTTTTTACAATGTAGTACTAACAATTTTTCTTTTTAGGTGGAAATGTCTGTAAATTGGGAGATGTGAATACTGATTTCTAAAGATGGATTCTATTTGGCGTAGCTCTCATTTCACTCAATAGATGTTTCAAGCTTGTTTGTTGAATGCGACGTGAAATCTGTTTGCCACCCCATTCACTCAACAGACCTAAACCAACATGCCATCCCCAACAGGCACAACATACAAAGGATGTGCCTAATATTTTTTTGTTCCTTGGTTGCAAATTTTGCGTTGGGCTACATTTCATACAAGATTGCCTGATATTTGAATTTATTTTATCTATAATTTTTGTCTTTGGTTTTGCACTTGCAATCAAATTGAATATTTCTTTAAATACTTCTCTCTTACTGGTCTAGATCCGCACCTAAAGTGATTATGATGATGAAGATAAACTGAAGATGCCATAAATGAGACAAATATGATGACGCCATGATAAAGAGGATGATGATACACATGACGATGGTGGTGGTCATAATGATAGTATTTATGATTGTGATAATGATGATTATAATCATCGTCAGAATATAGATAATAATAAAGAAAATGATGAAAAATAATAATAGTGATAACATAATACAGTGATTATGAAGATAACAATAGCGATGGAGTAATGATTGTGATTGTAACAACGGATATCTTGTTCCAAAAATGTTGCAATACTGTAAAACAAAATGAATACACAGAAGCAAAAATTATATAATTATAAAAATGCATGTTAAATTAATATATCCTCATAAATATTTATTGGTACAGAAAAACAAACTACCAAATAATGAGATAATAAATAAATATATCATAAATTACCTTTTTTACCATCACCAGATGTGAACTTATTTGGAAAAGTTTCCTACAAAAATAAAAACATACCTTTATAAGTAAAAATATATAGTACAATTAAGACAGTAATATGTAAGAATAAAAATTATTAAATTTGAAAACTGAAACAAAAACTCACAGTGCCAACTCTGTTGATTGCAACAGTAAAGTAGCTATTGGCTATGGCAGCATTCCTTGCTTCAATAGCCCACATAGGCTCACTAAATATACAAAAAAATTGATTACACAGATTTAATTCCATAATATTCCAAAAATGACATGCTATTATGTATGTAATTACTCAAACAAAATTGGATAATTGATATACAAATCAGTAATGTCAAAAACATACTAATTGTCACGTATTTACTAAGGCAATACCATGACAATTAATAATGGGTAATCAATCAATAAAAAATAAAATGTTTAATAATACATTGATTGGCTAGTATAAGTCACCATTCTACACCACAAAAATGGATAAATCATCAATACAAGATGAAGCCATTCTAATATTGGGTGGTTATCACTTTTTAATCAACAGTGTAAGGTACATGCAATTTTGGATGTTTGGTGAGTTAATCACAGAGGGTTGTCTATAATATTCAATACAACTTACCTAAGAGCTCCGACCGTAGCAGACGGATTGAACACTATCTCGGCCCCATTCAACCCATACATCAACCAATTCAATGGATGGTGCCTTCCATAGCAAATATTAATAGCAATTCGACCTGTTTCACAAAGTGGAGGTTACAAAAAAAGCATTTATAAAAATACTGTACACTATCAATCACATAATTTTTATAAGATAGGATACAAGATAGGTCTCCATTGGATTGAGACTCCTGGCTTTTCATGTTGATCGGGACACCTGGCTTTTATTGCGAACTAGGACACCTGGTTTTTAATGGGAAATTGATGTACCTGGTTTTTCATGTGGACTAGGACATCTCATTTTTCATGTGGAATGGGACACCTGGCTATCAATGCGGATTGGGTCACCTGGATCTTCATGTGGCTTGGGTTACTGGACTTTTCATGTGGACTGGGCCACTGGGCTTTTCAAGTGGACTGGGACACCTGGCTTTTTATAAGTCATTTGTTATCAATCCTTGACTTTTTATGTACTTATTATAATTTGACTGTCAAATATAATAAAAATGCATATTTTTTGTCATATTGGAAATTGAACATATCCAACTCCTTACATTACAGCCACATTTTGGACATTATAGACAAACTAATAGTTCCCTGGTCCATGTGACTAAATAATGAATTTAAAAAAATGTAGTATCTTACCAAATTGTGTTTCAAATACTTTATGTCCAGTATTCCCTTCCATATAGTATGTTGACTGAAAGAATTGAAAAATGATATATACAGTAGGCCTATATTGACTAACATATTAAAGTGGTGTGAACGTCTACCTTTTAATTACCGACATGAACTAACCATTTGAACATTATATGTTTGTTTACATTATGTAGAGCGGTATTGATTTACTTTCACGAAATTGCAATTATCTCAGCTTCGTTGTGCGAAATTGCGTAAATCGGCAAAAGCGAGTCATTTTCATTTTACTGTTACGGGCCACAGACTGTGATTAGAATAAAGTGTTTGGTGCCATTGTAATTCTAATTCTTGTAGTATTCACTACATTTTCTGATCACATACACACTCTCCAACGAGCTTCCGCAAAAAAGTCAGTAGATAATACTATTTTTTCAAACCCCTGGCGGTCAGAGTGTTAAGCTTTGCGTAACCAGAGATTTTTTTCTAATTTATTTGAATAAGAAAATGAATATCATATCATATTATTGATTAATATGTATACATATATATTTATATAATATATAAACAAGATTGAACCCATATATTTAATGCTTGCGGAACACAACTTAGATGGCGAGTTGATTGGCCGAGCGGTTAAGACAAGGGAACCATGATATACAGCCATAGTGTCGATGATGTTCAAACGGCACGCTCGCCTATGGTTCCGGTAGAGGACCAAGTCTTCTCAGATAAAGACTCTAAACCATAGGTCCAGTGCACACAATTGGCTCATGTGCACTTCAAAGAACATAGTACATCCTTCGAGAAGAGTAGGGGGTTACCCCGGTGTACCAGTCCAAGGGGCCAAAGTACCCCCATCGGGAACCTCTTGACCCCACCCCCCACTTGGACCCCCCTGTCGGGGAACTTCCAGCAAGTTTGTCGGTGAAAAATGAAATCTCGACAGCCGAAAGTACAATTTAGGTATGCCTTGCTGCCACATTTTTAAGGATTAAAAACTGTTTAGTGCGAGCAGTGCTACTGTATGCGCGAGGCGTTGTATATTATCGCGATTGTATGGGTTACAGTGGTAGTGATAGATCTTCTCTGACAGTGGGGCTGGTACATCTAACAGGTGGTTAGTACCTCCAACAGGGGCATTTTAACTTGCATGGTTTTCTATCAAAATTATCCTTTTTAAATAAAGAATACCATAATCACATAATTTTCCCGGGAGGGCGGGGACTAGGCTTCCCCATCCCCGATGGGGATGGACCCCTTGTCGGTGAGCTTGAACCCCCTTGTCGGGGAATAACTGGTGCCAACACTGCAGTGTATTGGTCCAATTTAGCCCCCTCTCCGGCCACAGGAGTGTTTACATCGAAGCCCATGTCAGCTATCCTACCTGCGAAAACTTCTACAACACTACGTAGGTAAAACCATACACACTAGCTATGTAGTGATGTGAGAAGATCACATAGACCACATTGGTGTTGAGAATGTGTTGATGTTTCGATTGAGTTGCTTCAATCGTCTTCAGGTGGAATGATTTCCTGTGTGCAGAGCCCTTTACTAATTAAACTAAAATTGTAAAATAAATTAATATTAACCTCATTAAAATCACCAACTCTTGGTATGTGGTTCTTTCTAGATTTTCCAAGAACTGTTCCAGAGTTTGATATAACAACTGTAATGAAGATAAATCATGTCAAAGAAGAGAGTGATATGTTATTTAAAAAACTGTAGAGTAAACTCTTACTCTATTGAACTGGGAATTTAGGCTTAAAATGAGTGACCTTTGACTTACCAGCAGTATTCCACAACACGTCATCAGCTGGGTCACGTTCTAAGATTGAAGAAACGATTACCATGTTGAAACGTTTTGCGAGCTGAGAGGGAAATGATCATGAAACATAATGAACTTAAATTACTTTATCAATCAAATAATAGGAGTATACAAGGAAATCATGAGATGGAAGGATGAAAAAATTTCCATTGAAATATGATAAAATTTGGCTTACAGATCGTTAATTAAAATTTGACTTACAGATTGTTAATTAATGGAAAACACAACAATTTGGCATGTAAAATAAGATCAACTTATAAGAATAGAGTTTGTATCTCTCATGATTAGAGTTAGAAGATGAAGCACATTTTCTTTTGTTAGATAAAGATTATCTTATCTTACCTTATCTTAGTGATCTAACAAAAGTATTTACTAGCTTATTACAATAATTTCCTAAGCATGGCAACATTCTAATTATTCTTCTAAAACTTCTACTATTATTAGGAAAATATGTATTTATCCATCATGCTTTTCAACTCAGACAAGTAATTAAGCAAAAAATGAGAAACTAGAGAAGTATATTACATGGTATCATTGTTTATTTTATTGTATTTTATATTTAGAAAGGGCTGGAGACCTAAATTTGAAATAAAGTCCCTGTAACAGAGTTAATAGGAATGTAGCATGAACAGAAAAGTGAAATTTAAAATTAAAATTTCAGTTTTAAATACCTCTTGACAAAGCTTGGTTGTAGAACCATCTTCAGCAGATTCAGCAAATTCACACCATGGCTGTTTTTCCCTTGTGCAAAATGCAAAAGGCATTGCTAAAAAGTTAAAATAAAATCATAGTCATAACCATAATCAAATTGGCACACCATATGGATAATGCAAAAAAATGAACATAACCTACTTATTTGTTTAGGTAGACCACAGACCTTATTCTACAATTAGACAACATTAAGCAAAGACACCTGCATAATACGAGGCAACTATGGCTATGGTCACACTAGAGTCTCAAGCCTGGCTTGACTCACTGCGGGTGAGATTTTCGTAATGTGACCGCACCTGGATCGACTCGCGCCTGGCGTGACCTCAATCTCAATCTACCTATCTCGATCCCGGCTCAGTACCCAGATTGACCCTGGCGTGACCGGGATTGACATTTCCTCGTCGGCTGTCGACCAATCACAGTCGATGACGCTGTTGTGTTTAGGAAGTTCTTGAACAAAAAACCCGCGGCAATCATCAGTTGTCATTTATAAATGAACTTATCAATCTGAAAACTAGCATCGCCATTACATCCGTGCCCAGGCCATCTAGATTCACACGCGGGGCCGGTATTTTGACTGTAGCGGCGCTCTAACTTCCTGTTTCGACTTTCCTAATTTGGAGGTCAATCCAACTAAATTCAGGTAAAGTGTGACCGACACAGAATTTCGAGCCTGGATTGAAATCTCACCCGCGGCGAGTCAAGCCAGGCATGAGACTCTAGTGTGACCGTAGCCTATAGAATACAAACCATCTGTATAATATAGACCACCTGTATAATACAGACTAACTGTACAATACAGAGCATTTGTATAATACAGAACAGCTGTAAAACATACAGACAATGTGTATACCACCCACCTACAGACCAACAATATAATACAGACCACCTGTAAAATAATGACCAAGAGCATACAGCCACAAGGGAATTCTACTCAGAACACATGTACAAATAGCCCACATGTACAATAAAGCCCACCTGTAAGCTCCACTCAGAACATACAATTATATGTAAAATACAGACCACCTGCATACTACAGCCTTGTCAAAGAAATATTTTAAACAGTGGTTCAATCTTAGAAAAAAATTAGAAAAGGGGATGATAAATATTTTTTGCTGTGTAGTAAAGTTGCTTGCACCAAATAGTTTAATAATCAAAAGTAAACATATGACGTATTCAGACAAAATTTAATATTTCCATGTATAGTAAAACTAGGCCTAGTGATTTTTTTTTTTTTATATCATTATTATGTCAGTTGACTCTTCCATTACTAAACCGAGAATCAAGCTTCCTGAGACTTATGTATGCCTTGGGCTAGCTATGAACGTGTGTGAATCTGCATAGAAAGTAGTACTATATAGAATGGACCTTTCTAAGGAGTCCAATTAAATTTGACAGCCGAACTATAAGAACAGGGCTAGGAGTACGCGCTTCACAAGCACACGTCGTCCCACAAACATACGTGTTTGCGTATGTTTTTACGAGGTCATTTTATGGGACCTTAGCAACAGTATCCAAGAAAGGTCCATTAAGATAGTATACACCACAAACAAAATACAGACAAGTTGCAGGAAAAAAAATGCATAATGTAATGATATTAATAGTAAAGGAACTTACTCCAAGCCTCCTGAAAACAAATAACATTTACTCCGCATTTTGCAGCAGTTTCAACAATGTCAGCGATTCTATTATGAAGTGATCCTATCTGTAAATAAGAGAAAGGCAGTTAGTTTGACACTGTTATCTGTTACTTTGCACACACAAATTAATAAATTTTATTGATTCTGAATGATTTAAAGATGTGATATAGATATGATATTCATGGATTCCAAGCAGTCACCCTTGATTTCTGGGACTCTTCGCGAAGTCAGCAGTCCCCCACACAATTCTCTCAAAAACAGCAAAATTATACCAGAATCAAATTCACCTCCCGCAAACTCAGAATATTTAGAAGTTTTTATTATCATCACGTAATACAGTAAGAGAGG